TTAAAGTAGTTTTTTTTTTTTAAACCTATAAAAATGTGAGTTATTTTAAGGCCTACCAAAGATCTTGGTGACATCTTTCCTCTTGTCCGACTTGTGTCCTCTTCCCTATGTCTTTCTTGGTTGGTACCGCTAACTAAAGTTCTCTATTCTCCTGGTTTATACTGCTCATTGAACTGGAATAAGCCTTCTGTGGTACCTGAAAACATGGAAGTTGTTTTCCCTCTCAGATTCTGGGAAGACATAATGTACTATGCCCCTTTCTCTCAACACTGAGAAGAGCTTACCATGTAGAGTACGTGCTCAAATACTGATGCTTATTGTAGACTTTTTGCATAAGTTGTATTGCTTTTCTCTACACAAGAAGGGATAAAGTATGTATCTTTCTTCAATTCTTTATTGGCTCAGGATCTCCTTCTTTCTGTTTCCATCTGCTTCTGAGTAGTGGGCACACTGGAGGATGGCTGTAGGCGTCTGGATTGGTTGCATGTGCTTTGGAGAAGGAAGTTAGGTTGTTACTGAACTTTCAAAACTCCAGTTTTGCCAGGTGTGGTGGCGCATGCCTGTAATCCCAACACCCAGAAAGCCCAGGCAAGAGGATCACAGTGAATTCTAGGCCAGCATAGGTGTATATAGACTGTTCCCTCCCGGCCAACCTGCTCTAGACTGAAACCCTTTCTCAAAACAACAACAAAACCCACCAGATTTTTAAAAAGGAAACTATTTTCTTTTTCTTACTATAGATGGTAAGATGGTGTTGCTGTTAGTGTGCCGCATATGTATCTGTGATCTTTGTATTTAATTTAGTTCTTTCTAACATTGAACTAATTCTGTTGAGCTATACACACATATGCATATACATTTATAGACACATGGGCATATAAAACACTGAGGTTGTCACTTCGTGATCAAATAGAATATAAGTCAAATACCTTAAGCACATATATTTTTGGTACCATATGATAATCTTTTGTCTTTTAAAATAATAGATGGCCAGAATGTTGCATGCCTTTTGGGTTTGCAGCCTTTGATGGTGTAGAGGCTGAAAGTGGTGAGTGTGGTGTGTATCCCAGCACTGACTGGTTCACCATTGCTCTTTGTTCACAGACGGTCTGGTGATGTGAGATAGTGCCTGATGAGTGCTCTTTCAAGACACATGAGACAGAAAACATGCTGCACTTTACTAGAAACATCTGAGTCAATACAGTGAAGTAGTAATTGAACTAACAGGCACCTCTTTTTTATTGTAAGTAAGTCTAAACCAGGGCTTCTCAAACTCCTCACACAAGCTCCTTTTCACTCAAGACATGTTTATGTGACTGCAGGCTTATATGCATGTAAAATAGGCATATAGTTCAAGCACTGATACTCATGAATACATCTTCAACAGTTCTTTGATGTACTTATAATTTTTCTTTTGTTAAAGATGAAAGCAAATATGCATACTAATGAAATGGGTGTACTTGTTTATTTTCTTCCTTAAAAATTAAATTCTGGTTAAATATTTGATACTGCAGAACAGAGGACATATTCACTGTTTTTCAGAGTTGATTGATGGTTTGATTTTGTAATTATCAATGCTGAGCATGCCATTCACATCAATACCTAATACAGAATGGCTAAAGTAAGCTTAAGAGAACTTCAGAAAATACTGGAAATTCTGTTCTAATCCCAAGCCTGAAAACTCAACAGCAACACAAATAGTAATTTAAAACTTAAACATTCTTAACACAATGCATTCCAAAGATATATGTACTTGATACATGCTGAGGAATGGTAGTAGGAAAATATTTAAAAGTCTTTGTTTTCTGTAAGAGCAGGAAACAGTAAGCTGTTTGTCCTGAGTCTGGAGTCTGCACTGAAACATTTCCAGCAGTATGGAGGGCCCTGCAAGCATTGCATGCACAGTGCAAAGTGCACACACTGTGTGTTCAGAACTGCAGTGCTGTTGTGAGATGCAGCACAGGCGAGGGCTGCCAGAACACCTTGACTTTGTGACTGTGTGATTTCTAATTGACTTGTAATATTTACACATTCAGAAACTTGATTGTTGCTAATTTTTATAGCTCCCACATTCAGTTATCTGCCTCATCACAACTCAGTTTAGGAGCTGGGATCCAGTGTTTCAAGAGTTTCTTCTTATATCTGAACAGTCAAGTCTTTAGACCTTTGGTATTGTTTTGTTTTGTTTTTGTCTTTTGGGGGGCCCACCACCCAGCTCCCAAATAAATCACACACGGAGGCTTATTCTTATGAATGCCCAGCCCTAGCTTGGCTTGTTTCTTGCCAGCTTTGCTTAAATTATCCCATCTATCTTTTGCCTCTAGGCTTTTCCCATTCTCTTACTTCTGTAAGTCTTACTTTTACTCCATGGCTTGCTGTGTAGCTGGGTGGATGGCCCCTGGAGTCCTCCTTCTTCTCTGGCTACTTCTCTCCTCCCAGATTTCTCCTTCTAAGTATTCTCTCTGCCTGCCAACCCCACTTATCCTTTCTCCTGCCTTGCTATTGGCCATTCAAATCTTTATTTGACTATCAGGTGTTTTAGACAGGCACAGTAACACAGCTTCACAGAGTTAAACAAATGCAACATAAACAAAAGTAGCATGTCTTAAATTAATATTCTGTTACAGACCTTCTCTTGCTGTTCAGGTGCACATATAAAATACAAATATGCATTATATTGAGAGATTATATGTCACCTGAAGCAGTAAGATCTTTGTTTTTCCAATACTGTATGTGCTTAAAATTTAGATACACACACACACACACACACACACACACACACACACACACACACACACACACACGATAAAATAGGATACCAAGAGTGAAAGAGAAATGGATGGTAAGCCATGGAAATTTTAGAGAATTCCATTTTATGAGTTTTTCTTTCTCTAACTTTATGGATTATATGATTTGCCCTTCCTAAGGCTTATGGGCTATCTGAAAATGTAATGTTAGCATGGATGTTAAAATGTTGAAATTTCTACTATTCCTTCCCATGGTGTCTTTTTTTTAATTGCAGTATATGTAACATGTGTTGTTCTTAAGAGTCTTAATTTGATAACTGTGTGACTTTGGGCTAACAATGGCAGGTTTCTGGGTTTATTTATTTATAAAATGAAGAGGTGGTATTAAACTTTAAAACTCTTATACATGTATTAGAAATGTTCGACTACATGTAAGCACATGCATGTATATGCTAGTCTTATGGGACTCACCTGCTGAAATATGAAGCAGCCTTCTTGTGTATGTGTGCTAGCAGGAGTCATGCATTCCTGATCTTGTTTATGTCAGAGAGCTTTGTCAGTTTTGTGTCTTGTATTAAAAGTGAACTTATGGCCATGAGGACTGTGATCATTAGAGTGAGTGAACATGTTTAGAAGTGTGTCTCCTGCTGAAAGCAGGGCTTTGAGGGAGTGGGGTGTGTGGGGGGGCATGGCTCCATATACTATCTCTTCTTTTGGCTGAGGAATTTCTCTTTGATCTTCTAGACTGAGGACATAAATACTTGCAAAGCCATATTCTGTGCTCATTCCATCACTGTTTCCTTTGTGGACTTTATTAAACTAAATAAAAAAAAAACCAACATGGTTCTTGGTATAAATTAGGCTTCTCAAATTGGCTCCATATGTCATCAACCTGTTCAAAACACTTGCATTGCTCCAATGGGGTGTGTGTGTGTGTGTGTGTGTGTGTGTGTGTGTGTGTGTGTGTGTTGGAAATTCAGTCATTCATGGAACATACTTCACACACGTGTGTGTTTCAATGTGCTTGTTTCTGTGGTGGATTCCAGTCATCTGTACAACATACTTCACACACACGTGTCCCATTAAATTTTGCATTATAAACCCCTTAAGAAAAGAACTTTTCCTTTTGTAGGTCCATAGCACCTGGGAAATAACTTTGTTAGTCTCTGAATAGTTTGTACTGTTGAGGTTTTTTGGTAGAATGTGCTGTTCTTAGGATAGCAAAGTGTTTGGAGGTAAATATGATTAACTCTACTGAGGTCCTGTGTCTAAAGTCCATTTCTTTTGGTTTGGTTATAAGCTGATTGAATCTATAGCCTCTCTTACATAATACCTTTATAGCAATTTTGGGTTATAATACAGGAACATTGGATCAGTGGAAGGATGTGTGCATGGGTGGATGACTGCATGGATAGATGGGTATGTGGATGAGTATGTGGAAGGATGTATGGATTGGTGTGTAGATGAGTGGATGGATGTGCATCTGCATGGTTTTTCATAGAACCTGAGATTTGAGGTCCTTTAGCTGTCTAGATATATGCACTTAATTTTGGGTCTACTGTAGTTGATATTCAGAAAGGTTTTTTTGATATTAAGAAAGTTTTTAATCAGTAATTTTAATATGAAAATCATCAAAACAGATTGAATAACTGAGAAATAATAAAGACCAATAAAGATCAGAGAACATACAAGATTGGCAGACTCTCCAAAGAATGGCTACTAATTAAATGGGCAAGGGCATGAAAAGCGGACTAAAGCTTTTTTTATAATTGCAAATGGATAACCATATTATTTTCAATGGTAAGATGATATTTTCAGCCAATCCTATGTCTGCAGTGTAACTTTGAATTTCTTTATGGTACATAGTATTTCAAGTAGTTGATGACTTAGAGTATTTTGTAAAAATGAATGTTATAGTCAACCTGTTTCCAAACATTATGAATCGCTCTTAGGTAAAGGCAATATTTGGTGGCATTTAACTTTGTGATTTAATAATTTATTGCATCATCAAATAAATGCCATCTTTATTGTATGTTTGGGATGAGTGTGGGGACCTTCAGGCGAGAGGCTGAAACTTAGTTAACCATTCTCTGAAGATATAGCAAGTTTCAGTTTGGGGTCATAGCATTTCTTCTCAAATACAATATGATTGCCTGAAAGCAGGTAGACCATGTATATTTTTCCAGTTCAGTGTTATTGCTCATTATCAGCTGGTGGACATGGGAACAACTTAATAAAGTTTGGGTAATTTAGTTTTCAGTTTAAATTCTCAACTGGCAATTGGCCGAAAATTCCCATCTGAAGAAGGGAGCACCCAAATGCATTTTGGTTACTGTCTACTCGGCATAGGAGGGCACCATCAAGAATAATGGAGAGACTAGCACCCGAAGGAAACCAATGGTAAGAATTTTCTCTTCACTAACATGTGCATTTATGTATATAACGCATATATATTTAAAATAAAATTTTAGAGTGTTTCTATTCTAGGACATATGACCAAATGTGTGAGTCTTACGTGTCTGTTATACTTTTTTAGGATACATGCAGAGAACAGTCTCACAAGAAATATTATACATGCAATGTTGAGAAAACTAAGAAAATGTGCAAACATTAGTCTATATGGTTCATACAAAGTTGAACAAGTTTAGTTTTTGTAGTTCTACTGTACCTAATTATCTTTAAAATAGCATGTTATAAATATTGCTTGAATGAAGTTAAGTTTTAAGAATATTTATACAAAACTGAATTTTTCTATATAATTTCTTGGTATCTCTCAAACTAGTCATAAAGTTTATAATAAGAGTTTCTTTTTACTTTGATAGAAAAATAATATAAACAAAGAAAAAATCTATTTACCTTAAAAATTCTGCTATAGAAGTTAGGTATGGTAGTGCACACCATAATCCAAGCACTCTTGAGACTGAGGCAGGAGAATTGAGAATTTGAGGTCAACAAATCTCAAAGAGTTTTAGGTAACAAAATGCTGTCCAAAACTGTTTCTATACATTGAAGATTGCTATTACATCTTTATATAAAATACTAATTTAAAAAAAATATTTCTATAACTAAAATGAGCCAAACGATCTATTTATACCACCTAACTTTGGTAATAAAAATCAGACGTCTCTGTCCTATCTTTTTATGTTCACACTGAAACAAGAGCCCCAGTTTGCATCATTTTGATGTGCTGCAAATGAACTTAAACAATTTTTTAGAATGTAATTGGTGTCTATACATCTCTTCATATGGATATCTCCATCCTGTTGGACTCTAGGTGTTTTGGTTTAACTTTGGGTAGGAATGAGAGCCAGCTTTTATCAAAACTTACATTACTGTCTCCATGGACATAATAACTTTATGATACCTAGGTAATAACTAATAAAGACCAGAATACTAATACTGCACAGTAATTCAGTTGACTGTTTTGCTATCAAACTTAGGATTTTTGAGACAAATAGTTTGAGTATTTTTTCTTACTTAACTAGAGATGTGAAAATTTTATTAATTGAATCTTGCCATGATTTTAGCCATTTCACAGCTTAATGACAGCTGTATCAGAATTACCCCTTGTGACAAGCACCTGCCTCAGCATCGCTCATGCAGTCATTAGACGTTGCTGTGCCCTGAATACTAGATCACATCTACCCTCCGTCCAAAGGTAGAATTGTAGTTGCAGACAGTCCCATGAGAAAGCATACGTCGCTGTGAGCAGAGTAGCAGTAACGTTGGGATATAAATAAACCATGTTTTTACAAATGAAACAATAACTTGTTTCTGAACTTTTATTTTATAACCCTACTAATTGAACATCTTTTAAATAAAACCTTGGAAGATTCAGTTCTGACCATGGAGACATATGTTTTTATACTTATAGTATAGTCTCTTAAATTTCTTAAGCATTTACAACAGAGACTTGTGAGAGCCAAATTCTTAGGTGAGAATTTCATATGTGGGAGAATTCATACTAGATCCTTCAGTATTTCAGAAATTATGCACAGAGAACTCCCAAGTTCTTCAGTTGATAGAAAGTTATATGCAGACATTTTTAAAGTATGATTTCTTCATAAATTTTATCCCTGTTAAAAATATAAAATTTATGTTCTTACACATGTATTTTAAGATTTTTGCATCATTAAATTTTGAAAAATAAAATATTAGGCCATTTGAATGTCTGAAGTTGGTGCTTCTATCATAATACAGTCTCATTTACAGGAGATACTAGTGATGTTTGAAAAATAATCAAGTTAGTTGTTTTCATATGTAGATCATGAAGATTTTAAAAACTGGTCAACCTAGGTGTTAATTTTACCATGTGTTAATTGTACTTACACTGGCACTGAATGTGCTACTTGCATGTTCATATGAAGCTATCAAATTCAAGTAATTAACATTTTCTCTGAACCTTTATAAACTATGCAACAATATCGTGAACTAGTCATCTCAAATATGAAACTAATATCAGAAAAGTTCATATTTTTACAACTAATAATCTTTCTCTAATTTACCACTGAAATATTTAAACATTTAAACATGAAATAAGACAAATATTTTTCAAGTAGTAAAATCCAAATTCATTTTTTCCTGAAAATTATGTGATTGTCTCTGCATGTACTCAGATGTCAGCAAGCTGTCTCCTAAGTACTCTGATTTGAAGATGTCAGTGCAGAGATGGAGAACAGTCCTACCTGTTACTGTAGGAGAGAGAGCCTCCTTGAGGAGTGTCTCGGGGGAAATGGAAACATTCTTGGCTGTGTAGCATGCCTTGTGATGTCCAGAACATTCTATATTCTTTGACCACTCCTTTGGGTTCTATGAGTTAGGTTTAACTGATCTAAGGTGTCAAGTAGAGAGTTTCACTACATGAAGGAACTTGAAACACCAAGGTATAAGAGAGTAATGAGGAGAGAACATGATGAACGTATAGTGCATGCCTAGCTGACGAGTCCCAATGACACCCTTTCCTTTGTCAGTTGAATGTGCAGTAAGCATCTTTCTAAAGCACTGTTGCACACACAGCTCTGACGGGGGTGATGCATAGCCTCTCTGTTGAAATGCTTATTAATGAATCCTGAAGCAAGCAAAGGCTATTAGGAATCTTTTAGGGTATTTCTAGTGCAGCAAATACAGTGTGTGTTTTAATAGCCTCTCTCTGGATCTTTGAAGCTTCTCCTGTCAGAAGAAATAAGTTGCAACTAAAAATTGTGTGGAACTGTGAGTTTAAATTCTTGCTGCTATGAACCACAAGGGTTTATTTCAAAGTTCTGTCCTATCTTTAAAGTTAATATCCTGGCAATAACTGTCCACATGTTAAATTTTATGCAAGGTAGATGTTACCAGATACATTAAACTGCCACTTACAGTGGGTTTTTACTGAGTAAATCTAATAGAACAAATCCCTGTTACGCATCAGAAGACCACTCAGTGGCAACCTGCTGTGTGTTGGACATCGCACTGGACACTGGGGGCTTGTGCTAAGACTGTGATCCTCAGGTTGTAGTTGAATACAGAACATAGACATTGAGCAGATAATTATCAACCCAGTGTCTTGTGGCATTATAAAAACGAATGGTGGTGCACGCCTTTAATCCCAGCACTCGGGAGGCAGAGGCAGACAGATCTCTGTGAGTTCAAGTCCAGCCTGGTCTATAGAGCGAGATCCAGGAAAGGCGCAAAGCCACACAGAGAAACCCTGTCTCAAACAAACAAACAAACAAACAAACAAACAAAAAACCGAAGTCCTTTCTTAATGTACCTCAGGAATTGATCCTCTAGTGTGTTAGTAATTTAACTAATGAATAAACTAATAATTCACCTTCCTCCTGTAATGGGCTTCAGTTTGGCATTAAAAAAATTGGCAAGAAGTCTTTAAAAGTGTTTCTTAGAAAGCAAAACAGTCTTCTTATGTGTGTGTGTATATTGTTTAATACGAGAAACTGCTATGGAAGGTCCTTAAAAACATATGTGGACTGCCACATGGACTGCCTGTCATGTGTGTCATTCACTTCAAACTCAGAACACCTGTCGGGTGTTGTACATTAGACATGTCATTTAAGAAAGCTATTCCAGGCAGTTTTACATAAGCACTTCCACACTGTAGTTAAGAAGTTGGTCTCTAGGTCAGACTAGATTTGTTATTAACACCTACACTTGGAAGGTTCACAGCCTTAAGAGTTCCCTGTGATTCTGTTTCCTTCTCTAAAATGGAACAGTATACCTCATACAGAAAACTACATTATATATATATATATATATATATATATATATATATATATATATATATATATATATATCGCTTGGAATAGTATTTTACATGTAGAATGTGCTAAGCATGGCTTCATATGTTTCTATTCACAACAGTAATAATAATGATAATTCTGTTATCTACAGTGTTCCACCTGGGTTGGGGAATGTAGCTCAATGCAGAGTGCTTCCCTAACATGCACAAAGGTCTAGGCTAAATCCCCAGCACCAGAAATTATGTTCTGCCTGATTGACAAAGTTAAGCCACCTGAAATAATTACAGAATAGATGGCTTTGTGTGGGGTGTATGCTGTCATTTACTCCAAAGAATTCACCTCTAATACATAGATCATAATCATTACCAAGACCTGTTACCCATTATTGCTGTGGAATAGAGGGCAGGGGAATTTCACCCAGTCTGGTTCCTCTTTAACTGCAGTTCAGAAGCTGCTCTAAAGAGGCCTCCATAACTGCATCTCTAGGACCCGGGTGAACTTAGCATTTAGCCCAGACTCTTGAGTATCCCAGCCACGTTAGAGTAGGTCCTTTTTCTCATCTAAGAAGGAATGTCAAACACCTGTTATTTGTCTTATGAAAGATAAACCCAAGTATTGTGAGTTTGTGAATGAAAAGATTGTGCTGAATACCACCCCCATGAAAACCCCAATACAGCATCTTTTCATCAATAGTTCCAACTTGTACTATGGATTTGCAATCCTAAAAGGACATAATGATGCTTGTATATATTATTGGAAAACAAAGTATTCTCTTAGCATAGTACTATGTTACCATGAGAATTGATGTTTAAGTTGTAAGGCTTTCTATACATAGATCTTTTAAGTTGATTCATTCCTACATAGATATATTCAGACTTAAGTGATTTTTTTTCCCCAAGTAATGCATTTGTTGAAAAACAATTTCAGGATGAAATTTCAAATGACACTTACTTTGAATTGTGATTCTGTGGCTTTGAAGTTTATATATGCAAAAAGAGAAGTTATGTAGTGAATTAACTCAATTGTTTTAAGTACAAATATTTTTATTTAAATAATAAAAATAGGGGCTGGAGAGATAGCTCAGCAGTTAAAAGCACTTGTTGCTCTTGCAGAGGACCCAGGTTCAAGTCTCAGCTCCCTATGGTGGCTTACAACAGGCTGTAACTCCAGTTCCTGGGGGTTACATGACCTCTTCTGACTTCTGCAGACACCAGGCACACATATGGTGCACATACATACATACATAAGTACGTACATACATGCATACAGACAAAACATTCATATGTAAAATATATCTAAAATGTATAATACATAAAAAAAATCCTAAATTTATATCATATAATCTAGTATATCTTTTGGTTTGCAATGTAGAAATCTTTCTCTCATTGTAAGATACTAAGTGAAAGACATTTCAATACAGTCTTGGCCTCCACTGTTAGTTCTAATGCAGTCTGTGTCTACTGGGGACTTACTTACCTTTTGCATATACCCTTGCTCTTTAAAAGAAGACAGGCATTTAAAGGACCTAAAGCGTGAATTATGAGCTCTGAGATCTGGTTTCTGCCCTGCTACAAATGAATATAAAGTAGGAATCTTCTGAGAATATTAGTCCTCTAACATGTTAATTCTCTTGTTATTTACAGAATGTGTGTATTTCTGTCTTGGACACACACACTGGCATCCCCAGTTCTCCACATTAATGAAAAGCTATGAAGCTACCAGTTGTTTTAAATTTCTAGATTTATTCGTAAAGAATCCTGTCCTGAAGAATAACATGCATTCATGCTATCAAATGGAAATACCTTATTGGCTTTTACATATATTATTTCAGAGCTTCCCAAATATCCCAACGTGAATCATCTATTTGCAGTTTATAGCCTTTGGGCCTGTTTACTGGGACTAAATATAGTGTTTCTGTTTCTATGTTTTCATTAGAATATTAATTATACACAATAATGAGCTTTATTATAGCATTTCATGCATGTATAGAATATATTTTGATCATATTCACCCCAGTTACCCTCTCTTTCTCTCTGTGTGTGTGTGTGTGTGTGTGTGTGTGTTTAATACAATTGCTTATAGGACATGCTTATTTACAAGAGCTTGATCAGCCTCTATGGCTATATGACTAAACAAAATGTCTCTCTTTTCCCCAGTAAACATTAACTGCCAGTGATCCTCAAGGAGGGATGAGGTCTTGTGACCTTCTCAATCCTAACAACTTCAAGGAGGGAGGGGCTGTCATGGAGAGGAGCAGGGTTTTGTGAAGGGCATGTGTAGGTAGTCACAGCTGGTGCAAATTTGGGAGTGCAGTGGCCACCTCCTTCTACAACACTATCCCTGTTCCTTCCTCTGGCTTTACCTTCTTCTGACTCCTCTTCCGCAGGGTTTCCTGACCTTTGCAACAGTGTAATGTAGATGCTCCATGTGAGGCTGAGGATTCAATAGCCACTTATTCTCAACATTTTGGCTAGTTAGTTATGAGCCTCTTTCCTAACCACTGTACATTGCAAAAAGAAAATTCCTTAACCAAAGTTGGCAGCAACAGTAGTTGCTCATACACACACACACACACACACACACACACACACACACACACACACACGCACGCACACATATACACACACTCACACATACATACACATATGTGTATGCATATATATATGTGTGTGTATGTATGTATATATATGTATATATGACTGTTTGACAGAGACATCATATCCACTTAGCAGTACAGGAGCACTAGATTCCCTACCAGGGTCTATATCTTCCCTAGCCATGGGCTTTTTACCAGGTTTCCAGTATCAAAAATGAATTCCCTCCTGTGGAGCAAGCCTCAAATCCAATTAGAAAATGTCCGGTTATCCCCTCAACAGTCACAACACTGTTACATCAGTAGGTCTAAGTTTACTTGGCAGGTCAGTAGTGTAAGGCACACCCTCCAGCTGAGAAAGACTGTTGAAGACAGTTCTCCATAGTAGTTCACGTAGCTCATCTCACTCGGTGACGCTAGCTAGCAGAGAAGAGGCTTCCAGTTCAATCCTAGTCTGATCTTTCTATGTCCTACACCCAAAGCGTGTGGTATCTTCACCAGCTAATTATCGTGGGAAATCAGCAGTGACAGTGGCCTGTGTTGTTTGGGAGACCTCAAGGGCCTCTCTGGTCAACAAACTCTTAGGGAAGCTCCATTCTTGGTACCAAGGTTTTCATTTAACAACCTTACAGATTCTGGGAGCATCTTTATTCACCCAGGGATCCTCTGTTCAAACTTAAATTTTTTTTTCCTAATTAGCTTACAAAATAGCGGATTTTCTTAGGGCTTTTTCATATAATTTTGGCTGACCTTCCTCCCATTATCTTCTCCACCTTATCTCCCTGCAGCACAAGCCCTCTGAAGCCTTTTAACCCTCATCCCCATCCATCTTAATATTTCATTTCTTCTGCTGTCCTGTTCTCCCTCAAAGCTCCTCCTTCCCTTCCCTCCCCTCCTCTCCCTTCCCCTCCCCTTCTCTTCTCTTTCTTCTCCTTTCCTTTCCCCTTCTAGTTTCCTGACCCCTGCAGATATCCTCACTCTGACAAATACATGCGTGTGAAAATTAAATTAGAAGTTAGAATCCATGTATAAGAGAGAATAGGTGTGCATTTGCCCTTGTGAACCTGAGCTGTGTCACTTAATATAACATTTTCAAGCTTCATTTGCCTGAAATTTTTTATCATTTCACTTTTCTTTATGGCAGAATAAAAGTTTGTTGTGCATATTTTGTTGTATCACATTTTCATAATCCATCAGTTGGTGGACATCTAGGCTGCTTCAGTTTTCTTGCTGAATAGAGCAGCAATAAATATGGATGTGCAAGTTATCTGTGTGGTGGGATACACAGTCGTCATTGGGCATATACCAAGGGCCATATAGCTGGGTTGTACAGTAGTTCTGTCTTTAGATTTTAGGAAGCCTCTGCACTGGTTTCCATGGTGGCTGTACTAGTTTGCACGCCTGCTCACAGTGTACCCACACTACCGCCAGAATTTGCTGTCATTGTTTTTAACCTTAGCCATTCTGACTAGGATGAGATAGCATCTCAAAATGGTTTTAATTCACATAGACGTTCAACACTTTTCATAAAGGAGATGTGAAAGTTCTTTAGTATAATTTTCAGATTGATTTTTTTGTTCTATTGATTAGGATTCTTTTGTTCTAATAATAAATTGTTAAAGATAGCACACTGTTTTCACTTTTGCTCTAAATCTTTATAAACACGTTTTACATGGCAATAGTAGTCGTTACAAGCCCTCTGTATGATGCACCATCCTAGACCGTTCTGAGGTCTCAAATAGTGTCAATAAAAAGGACACTGTAGCCTTTTAAGGGAAAGGAAATAAAAGACACATAGTAATATGTATCATAAAATATATATGAGTGTAGGAGTGTGATCATTTTACAACACAGATTTTTCCCACGTTTTTCAATTTTTTAATTCCGTAGAGATAAGGCAGAGCTTAAATTCCCCAAGATCTAGTGAAGGTCCTAATATTTGCATATGTAGTATTACAGAAGATAGCTTTTTAAAGAAAAAAAATGTGACCTTTTAGAATTGTCACAATTTGATCTAATTATTTTTTCAGAGCCTTGTTTTGTAATAGACAATAAACTTGGCCCCTGTGGTGTGGTCTCAGGGTAATGTCTCACTCTTTTCTCCTCCTTCAGGATAATCTTAAACTTCCACCACAAGAAGACTGTAGAGGGCCCTCCCGCACCAAGAACCATCTGCAGATCTTTTTCAGTGTTCTTGGAGGTGGGCTGAGAGGTTGAGCATTGTGTGTCAGCCACCTTGTTCTCTAAAGGTAAGCACTGGGTAGTGCGTGCACACATGTGGGCCCACGCTCCTAATGTAGGACTGGGTTTGGAATGCTCTATTGAGGGCCTAGGTCATCAGACCTGGACCACCCACTCTTGGCCAGGGTACCACGTGTCCAGCAAGAGTTTTCACTGTTTATAAGTGGAATATGCCCTAGAGATTATAAATTTAATTTTTGTTTTGTTTTGTTTTTTCAACTAGGGCTGGGGGTATAGCTTCTTTGTCAGTAAAGTGCCTGAAACACAAGCACCAGACCAGAACTGATATCCTCAGCACCAGTGTGAGATGCCTGAGTGTAGCAGCCTCTGTCTAACCTGGGGAAGTGATGACAGGCAGATCCATTGTCCAGCCAGCATAGACACTTGACAAGAGACCCTGTCTCAAAACAAATGGAGAGTGATCCAGGAAGAAACCCAAAATTGACCTTTGGCCTTCACTGTACTTACATGTACACACACCCACACAGTCATGTACACACAAGAACACACAGGAGCCCAATTATACTAAAGCTTATTTTTTTCAGTCTGCATCTAAACCAGTTTATAACTGCTGAGTTTAATTTCTCAGCAAAACTCTTGAATGTCTTGAAGCTTGAAGTCAAGAATTTTGGAATAATTTCAGAATTTAGGCCCCCTGGTGACACAGTGTAAATTAATGAACCAACTTGAAGCCCTGCTCTTCATGATCTCTCTGAAGTTGGGTCTCTTGCCTTACTCCAGAGGGGCTCTAAAATCATTTGCAAACAATTGAAGCTTCAACAAGTGTGGAAACAAAGGCTTTCTTAATGTTTAAGAAACATGTTCATGACTTTATTATGTCAGATCCTAACAGAAATGCTGGAAAATCACCTTTTTCCCCTCTTAGACTTCTTTCTTCATGAAATAGAGAATAAACACATTGACTCTAGCAGGAGAAACTTAAAACAGATACATTAATGCTTCAGCTTTCCTTCCAGACTTCAACAACAGAAAACCTCATGGTTATTTTGTCGATTTATTGACACCTCCAAATGGCTAATCCTGGATAAAAATGTCATGTAGGTGTCATTTGTTTTCTAAGGAGGACAGGAAGATGTGTGCTGATCTTGAAAACGCTATCCATGTTAGAAGTCGGTTAGCACTAGATAACTTTTGCTTTCACCAAGAAGCTGGATTTGAACACCGTTCCCTGGATACTGCAGCATTGGTAATAGGGCATAACAGTGCTGAGTAAAGAGGAATACCACCTGGCCACTTTGACTCACCTCTTCTTGTTGATCTTGGAGACAAGTTGCACATGATGTGACCTTATGGAACACCAGCCATGGAGAGAATCCTGATGACTGTTTGATGGCCCTACTTCTAAAACATGGATAACATCACCCTCTTTCAAACCACAGTCCTTCCTATATCTGCTTAATAAAATGTGTTGGAGGAAAATAGCCCTTGTCCCTGTTGTTAGGATGAGAAGAGGGGAATTCGACATCCACAGAAAGGCCTTAACAAGCAGTACACTCTTCAGTGTGTAAATAGTTCAGTGGTCAGAGCTAGTCTCATTGCAGACAATTTAAAAATTAAAACTTCTTAAGTAGCTCTAACACAGGTCGTACAACATAGAAGCCCCAGGTATTTATAATTTAGAGATTATATGTGTGCATACTGTTAATTGGTTTTTTAATTTCTAGGAGCATGCTGAATATTTTCAGCCTTTATAGTGGCATGGAAGAGAGTGGATAAATATAACTCTTTAGCCAGTTGAGAAGAAATTTGGAAATAAGACATAAACCTACTGAAATTCTAAGATGATGCTTAGTAATACAGGTTATTTCTTATTATTAAAGCTTTATTATGAATTTTTTTTTTGAAAAATGAGTTTTGGGAGACTAGAGAGATAGCTAAGTAGTTAAGAACACTTACTGTTATTGCAAAGAACATGGGTTCAATTCTCAGCACAAACAAGGATTCTCATAACCATTTGTAACATTAGTTCCAGGGGATCTAATACCTTCTTATGACCTGTAGGTACCAGTGTGCAGTCAAAATACTTATACACATAAAATAAAAATAAATAAATCACTTAAAATGGAGTGTTGCCTTACAATAGCACTGACAACCTATTTTAAAATTTTTTTTCACCGTTTTATTGCTATTGATTAATTTCATATCATTTGCATGGTATGTGTATATAACACCAGAACCACTGATCTTGCCTTCTCTGTCTGTGTTAACAGAAGTAAGATCTGTAGCAACACTTGTCGATAGTAATGGACGCCACATCCATAGGGAGCAAGATGAGCTGTTGGAGACCCTGTGGCTGTGCTAATATGCAGGCATGACAGCTTGGCTGGCTGATACTAGTTCTTTCACCGAACCAGGCTCAAGATGAGCATCTTGTTTTCATGGAAGCTTGTGTATAAATGTTAGTATATACCACTATTTTTGAATTGTTTTAAGAAAGGTTTGTTCAAAATTGGGTCTCTGATTTCCCCTTTAGATCTATGTTTGTTATTATTTTTAAAGCAACCCTAGCCAATCCATGCAAACAGTCCCTAATGACAGCTTAATTTCCTTGTTTTGGTTCTGCTCCTGGCCTCCTGTGGTAAGGAAGTGGGGGCCAGGGCAACCCTCTGTGCTTACCAATGGGACAGGGAAAGCCATAAGACTCTTTGGAGGCATATAGACCATCCCTGTCTCATAAAAATTGAAAATAATAATCAGGTCACAAGTAGAAATTACACAAGTAACAATTCTGATGATTTTAATGTTTTAATAGACACACTGAGAAAGTCAAACAGCCAAAATTAATTGTAATTACATTTTATTTAACCCAGCCTATCCAAATAATGTTTTAGCACATAGTTATGTAAATTAAACATTCAGATGTAGTCTATATTTTACACTATGCGTGTCTCTATTGGCTTAGCCACAGTTCAAGTGTTGTATAGCCACATGTGGCTGGTAGCTCCTGCATTTGATGGATCTAGACAAAGAGTGGATGAAGCCACCATCTTTTTCTTCATCTGTCCATTGGATAGCCTTGATAGTCCACATGGGTTGAAGTTTCCAGGTTTAACAGAAGGCAAAAAGCCAAATAGGATATTCTATTTAATTTGAATTTCAGATGAACAGTTGTTTAGTGTAATTATTACCCCTGCTTAACTTATCTAAGTTGATCTGATTATTTTGTGTTTTATCTTGCCCTGATTCAACTTGACTGAAAGGTCACTGTGTTGTCTAGAAAGTTGTAGGTTTGGGAAAGTAGAGCCCTGCCTTGAGATGAGTCTCCAAAGGAGGAACCTACCCAGAGACAGCATGGGGAAGTTTAAGACAGAGAGGGCTTTTCCATTGCAGGGTCTTGATGTTTACATCCTGAAGCATTTCAAATTCACACCATTATATGGTTTTGAAACTGATGGTGACTAACTTGAGTTTATAAAATGCAAACTGTTGAGTGCATACCGTGATTCTATACTTTCTGAGGAACCGCTCAGAGGACAGGTAATCTCAGTAGGTTTCTGGGCCTTGGCTAATCTAAGAACCTCTCCTGGCACTGGTCACCTCTGTAGCTGGCACTTGACTCTCAGATTGGCAGACATGAACACAGAACATCGATCGCTGGCATTGAGGAAAAACTTGGTGCAGCAGGTATCGGGTGGTGAGCACTGGGTTCCAACACCATAACAGTGTCTTCATTTCTCTTTACACTTCTGTGCAGAAGAACAAAAATCCCAACTTTACTCTTTAACATTTTAAGTGTGTTTTAGTAGCATTTTTGAATTTTTAGTAACCTATTTAGTAATGTGGATCTGACCCCTTAAGGCTCCAGAGAGACCGCTGAAGTTCCTCAGGGCAGTGGTTTTTAGACTGGCTCCACACCCTTAGTAAAGAGAAAAGGACGGCAGGTGTCACCCTGCCTCTTGGCCGTTGAGGCAGATCTCCCAGCTGCCAGTGCTCCGTGGCAGCGTCTTCCATTCCAAGCATAAGCTATCATCCATTTGAAATGCATTCACACTTAGGAGACTGCATCCAAGAGAGGTGGGTCTATGATTGGGCATCTTTCAGAGAACTAGAATTGCAGGTGAGTCTTTTTAAAAAGTAATTATTCTAAAGAAATTCTAAGATAGCCCTCCTCCTAAAACAGTTAGCTGAAAGGTCTCAGTCATGATCTTTGTGGTCAGTTTTCCTTCCTCACTTGGAAAAGGAACTGAAGCTGTTGGTAGTGGTGGGCTTGGGCGGCAAGATTACTGTCCTTTGAAAACTTCAGGGTTACCCACTTCTGGGTCTGGAAATATCGTACATTTATGTAAGAATGCTTTGCCTAACTTCAGATTTCTAAGGCATGAGCTATTTTGCCCAATTAACACCTACATCTATATATAAATAAGGTATTTAGCCTTTCCTAGCTAATATTTTTAACAGTAAAGAGTATATTAATGACTTGGGTTTGGGTTTTCACTTTTGTTCACAAGACTGGTTTTCTTTTGCTTGAAGATCTCAACATTATTTCTAAAATTATAATTTAAAACTACAGAAAAAAATCTTCAGTCTTAGTCCCTATTTAATCCAAGGATCCTTGGGTGACCATCAGAGGGTCTGTGAAACACTGGTAACTTAATCTGTGTATACTCCTTGATGCTAGGCATCAGATTCTTAATTTTCATCATACCTTCAAAGGGCTTGTATCAAAACTTTTGTCAAGCTACTACTTATATAGTATTGTGGGATCATTTTGCTTATAGAGAAACTGAGGGATAAAGAATTTAGTAATTTGCAATTACCCATTATATTCACCATGTAAAACTTTCAAACCTCTTCAGAAACTTTGCAAATATGTATACATAATTTCTTTTAAAGTCTAAATAGGCATATTAAATATTATCCTCTCATTCAAAAAACTAAACCAGTTAATTCAACTCATGAAGTTAATGGTGGAGCCTTGATTTTCATATCATCAAAAATAATCTGGCATCCGTGCTGATAATGACTTAACAATTATTTATGTTTTTAA